CCCCGGCACTGGGGATTGAGCCGCAACCCAGGCATGTGCCCTTGGCTGGAATCGGACCTGGGACCCTTCAGTCCGAAGGCTGACGCTCTATCCACTGAGCCAAGCCGGCTAGGGCCCAATCTCCTCTTTTAGCAAGAATAAAACAGGGCCCAGGAGAGATAAATTACTTGAGGCAATAATACCTTAAGTTAGTTATAGGCTGGGCTACTTGCTTTGAACTTGAGCTGGAAACCACTCACTGATCTGCATATCACATCATTTTGGCAAATGAACAAGCACTGGGAGTGGACACATCCAGAATTCGCAGGCACTGGTCAGGCGGATGGGCTGGCCCTGACTGGATGTTGAAGTGCTTTTCTACCTTAGCTTCCAAGCCAGCTCTCTCTGTGCCAAGATGATGCCTCCAGTTCCTTTCAGGAGTTCGCCAGCTACCCCTTCCAGGAGGAACTCACTGGCTCCAAGAGTAGGTCTGCTTCTGGACCTCCCAGCCATTACCCAGGCTTTATCCTATTAACATGCTCAAGTTGAGAGAAAGAATTGAGCTTTGCCACTCATCACAGCCTGTTTAATACCTGAGCTGGCTAGACCCATTTCTCATCTCCCTAACCATCACTGGGCTAATCACTCCTCATGACCAGGGGTTCAACAGAATCAGATTATCTGTAAATTAAAGGACCTGTACAGAAAACCAATATTACTTTTGTTAGCCTCCACTTGAGCCTCTCAGGAATGAAATGCTGCTTCATGTTTTGATGATAGGATTTTTGTATATAAAAACAGAAGCAGTTTTACTTTAGTAAGATGAGTCTGCAGTTTAGTTTTTTAAACTGAGGGAAAACACTTTGAAATCTATAAAAATGGGTTTAAAGCTTATACTACTTAGTAGCTGCAAGACCACTGGTGTATCTCAAATATTCTGAATCTCAACTTCCTTGATCATAAACAGGGAATACTAATATAACTTACCTCACAAAAGTGAGACTCAAAATGATCTTTTAAATAAGTCACTTACCAAATATACTATATCAACTTTCACATATAATTGAGACCATACAGTTTTAAATTACCTACCCCCAGAGCACAATCATGGAGAAAGAGATGGAATCAAGGTGCTCAGTGTCTCATGGGCTAAGTTCAGTACAGCACCGGCAAACCTGAGTTGGCATCTGCACTTCCCCACTCACAAACTGGAATTCTACGAAAGTTACTCACCCTCTCTAGCCTCAGTCTTCTCACTTATAAAGTATGGTTAACACCATCTAACTCACAGGGCTACTGTTCGTAATAAATGAGATAATGAAAGTAAAGGGCTTTAAACAGGAGCTGGTTTATGGTAAGGCCTCAACAAGCAGTAACCTTTTTTATTGGTAGCTCTTTTCTTGAGCCCTCTTTTCTATCCACCTCTCTAAAACAGGAGAAGCAGTTAGCAAAGCCCAGATTACCTCAACTATTAGAGAAAGTAATAATGAAAAAAAGAAGAGGGCCCTAGCCGGCTTGGCTCAGTGGATAGAGCGTCAGCCTGTGGACTGAAGGGTCCCAGGTTCAATTCCAGCCAAGGGCACATGCCCGGGTTGCGGGTTTGATCCCCAGTAGGAGGTGTGCAGGAGGCAGCTGATCAATGATTCTCTCATCACTGATGTTTCTGTCTCTCCCTCTCCCTTCCTCTCTGAAATCAATAAAAATATTAAAAAAAAAAAAAAAAGAAGAGGAAAGGATTGTGAATGAACTGATGACTGCTGTTCCAGACTATTTATCATACTAAGGGCACCTGATACTGAAAAAACATGGGTACTACATTCTAAAGAACGAACACAGCATGCGCAATCTTTCCAAAGGAGTGACAGAGTACCAACGGAATTTTTGCTAGGCTATCCATTACTCTCTTATAGTCCCTAACAAGCAGAAAGTGCTAAAGGAAGGCAATTCTGATGCCACATGCAAATCATTGCTTTTCTGTAAACATATCTCTATCATAAAGATTCCCCGTAGCTCACTCAAGTGCTTGTCTCTTGTGCCCCACTACCTGGTAAATTTGTTACACACTTCCATTATAGCAATTACCTTGTATTGTAAGGAGCTATTTGCATGTCTCTTCACTACACTGTAAGTTGATAAAGATCCTGGCTTACTCATCTGTGACTTCCCAGTACGTAACACAGTGGTTCTCAACCTTGGCTGCACATTAGAATCAACTGGGAATCTTTTTAAAATCCTGATTCCTGGGCCTTATCCTCCGGAAATTCTGTTTCTTTGTTATGGGGTGAGGCCACAACATTAGTAACAAAGAAACAGAATTTCCGGAGGATGAGGCCCAGAAATCAGGATTTTAAAGATTCCCAGGTGATTCTAATGTGCAGCCAAGGTTGAGAACCACTGGCTTAACAGATCCCCATAATTACTAATTGAAGGATGGGTTTCACCTTCTTTCATTAGTTAAGGCTGTTAAGAAAAAACGGGGGAGACATTAGTAGAAATGTGCACACAAACTAAGGTTCCCCCAGACGAGACCCCTGTTTTGGAGGGACTTTGTTTGGAGCTTGAAGGGAAGACTGACTGTTCCTGCTCCTCAGAGTTACTTTCTTAAAAACACAAAGAAAAGGACAGAATCAGTCCCTACAGAATTTCCAGACGACAAATTATATTCTTTCTTAGTAACAGGTAACAGAAGTTTGTGAGATGAATGCCTGTGGTTACACATAAAATTGACCTCTGGACATGACACTCTGGAGTATATTACACCACTAGAAGCTCTTAAGTTCTAAAAACAAATAGGGAAGAAAAGTTAAGAAGCAAAGATAAAAAAATGTCTCACGTCAAAAACCCTGATATGTGTAACTGAAATCAGGCTCCCTCAAAGGAGAGCCCACGACTAACAAACCGTATGTAATAACCGTATGTAATACAGTATTTACCTTTTTCAAAGCACTTTCAAATATATCTGTGAACTGCAGCTAACTGTAATCACAGAAACTTAAAGCTGGAACAGGCCTTGGAGGTCATTCCACAACCACCTCACCAACCAAGTGGTATCCAAGCACCTTTGGTCTCTAGCGATTGGGAAGTATGGTACTAAAACCTGCTTTAAAAACCAACTCGTGTTCTGACCACCTGTCTGTTTTTTCAGCCTCCACCCCCAACCTTAGTGATCCCCAATCAGAGAAGCCAAAACCTTCAAGTCATCCCACCCCCAAGCAACAGTCTGCTTCTCAAGTCCATTTCTACTCCCTTTCTCTGGGCCTCATCCTCAATCCTCCCCACCAGCCCCACCACCCAAAACGTGGCCGGGGCCTCGAAGATCCTGATCCCCCAGACATTCCACTGGTTCCATTCCTGACCGTCAGTTCCCTCCCAACTATTCCTCGGTGCTGTTCCTATGCTGTCGGGTGCAAGACGACACGCACTCCTAGCTATAAATGCATCTCGGGCCTCAGAACCTCCTCCCTTTCCTTTCTCCCTTCTCTCTCTGCTTCTTAGCACTGTCCCTTCATTCCCTTCAAACTCAGTATCTCCTTCCTCCTCGTGATGCCTTCAAGGGCCGCTGGGAATTGAAGACAGCAGGTGTTAAGTGTCTATTAGCTACTAAAAGAGACCCTCACAGCGCTCGCCCTCAAAGAACTCACAAGTCTCTAGGGCATCGGTTCTCAACCTGTGGGTCGCGACCCCTTTGGCGGTCGAACGACCCTTTCATGGGGGTCGCCTAAGACCATCCTGCATATCAGATATTTACATGACGATCCATAACAGTATGGTCTCACAAATTATATCAGGATTGTTTTGTGTAACCAATAGAATGTGGATGAGGCTGAAGAATTAACCACTTCTAACTTCTTCTCTTGAATTGCTCACTCACTGAGCTTAACTGGCTAGAGTGTCACTATATATATTTTTATAATAGTTCCATTAATATTCCACAGTCTGTTCTTCTATTTCTCTAATGATGGGCATTTAGTATTTTCAACTTTTAGTTACTACTATGCTATGCTCTAGGGCATCGGTTCTCAACCTGTGGGTCGCGACCCCTTTGGCGGTCGAACGACCCTTTCATGGGGGTCGCCTAAGACCATCCTGCATATCAGATATTTACATGACGATCCATAACAGTAGCAACATTACAGTTATGAAATAGCAACGAAAATAATTTTATGGTTGGGTCACAACATGAGGAACTGTATTTAAAGGGCCAGAGATTGAGAACCGCTGCTCTAGGAGGTGGAGATAGAGATCATTTATCCCTTAAGGCTCAGCCCAAACTGAATCGGCCCCCTCTTCGCAGTGCCACAATCACAGTGTATCTGACGCGGTGACTCCCCTCCTTGGGTGTCTCCCTCCACGAGGCTGTGGGCTCCGCCGTGGGAGGACCCCTTGTGGCCCTGTCACTTAGCCCAGGACTAGGCACAAAGGAGATACTTAATGTTCGTTAAATGAGTGAATGGATACATTCTGGTAGGCAATTATTCATTCATCCATTCGTTCATTAGTTGGCCCAAACTTTCCTGAGCCTACATTATGTACAAACTCCTGGACTGTCAGGATAAATTAAATAGCTCTTACGTTAAATAACTCAAAGCTATACTATTAGGAGATTAGCACCCTTCCCCGGAACGCATCCCCAACCCCCACCTGACACCTGGTCAGTCTTTTCCACAGGTGAAGCCAACCTTCCCCTGCAGAAATCCACGCCCCTCCAACTCAAGCTACCGCCTCCACCCTTCAGTTCTAACCTAGGGCCGGCCCCCAGCTAATCATCTCGAATATTACACCCCTATCCATCTGGCTTCTCTCCCTGCCCTCCATCTCTACCCACGAGGTCTTCTCCCCTCAAGACCGCCTTAGCGTCCCCGATTCAGGGTACCTCTGATTTCCCTCTCCACGCATCTGCCTCCCAGTGAGCTCCTTCCCTCTCCGGGTCCCGTCTATCCTAGGAAATGAATTATTCCCGATACCACCACTCTCCTCCTTTCAGTTTTAGGCTGAGTCTCTCCTGGACTCTCAACTCTTACCTCATCCAGCTCCCGTTCCCCGGCAGCACCTCGTCCAACCTCTAGCTCTACCACTGCCGCCATCTTCACAGGTCTCCCCCTCCCGCGTCCGCCCGCGAGCCAGCTGCTTCCGCCGCTCAAGGGCTCCTAGCCAATCAGAGGCGTAGGCTCCGGCAGAGGGGGCGGGGCGTCCACACAGGACGAGACCTGACAGGGAGTAAGAGACCATCTACCTGATACTTACTTAAAGGTCAAGGAGGAACAGTTCCCTCGCATTTCCAAACTTCGGCGGGGGAGCGTTCTTGGAAAATGAGGACCTGGGCTTGTATTATTTTCAGGGCAATTATTTCAACAATTCTCCCCTTTGGAGAACGAAAGAGAAGGGCCCATAAATCGTCAACTTTCGCGACGCTCCCTCACTCTAGGCTCCAAAGAGTGCGGCGTGGAGGTTAAGAACTACATTTCCCAGAATGCATTGAACCTGACCCGGAAGTTTCAATTCGGCTCTGGACCAGAGATTTGCAGTGAATGAAAATATATTGTAACACATCTTATTGTTCACGGCACATGATTTCTTCCCTCCGAGGGAGTCATTTTTCAGAAAGAGCGACTTTTTGAGGCCCTAGAACGAATACCCGGGCTTCGAGAGGCGGAAGAGTAGCTCTCTGGGTCAGAAGGCGGAGGAGGTCAAAGGGCCGAATTGGCGGGAGAATGTGTTTGTGCTCCACGATCTCAGGCTGCGGTGGCTTCTTAAGGTTCATTGCCCCCGGTGAAGGGTGTTGGGGGTTGATGATGGAAGGGTAGTGGCCGAAAGGGAGGAGGGGTCGCCAGAACAGCGCGTTCCGAGGAGCCGTGGAAGTAGCCGAGCGGCTTAGGCTATAGAAATTGAAGAGCCTCGCAATACCTGCACCGCCCCCAAACTGCTTCTTCGGGTCTCAAGTCTTCGGATCCACGTCACACTTCTAGGTACTCTTTCCTACGCCACATACTGCGTCTCCATCACCTACCTTTACCCCTTCTTATACATCATATCCACTGTGCTGCACCCCAGCTTATACCTTAGTATTGTAATTCATTTCCAAAAACCTGTTATTTGTCCATCCAGACCCGACACCTCACAAGCCTGCAGCTCCTGCTCACGCCCCCTGGGCATCCCGGCTGCCCTATCCCATGAATAGAGCTGGGATGACCTGTGAGCTCACGAGACTAGAATGCCAGTCAACTATTGGGGGCTGTCAGGAAGTCACAGGATAATATTTTGACCATCTACTCCAGGCATCTTATTTACTTAAAATGGGAATATTTTTTCTGAAAATGGGAATTATTTTTACTATGTGAATCTTAATACAGAGAATATTATATCTATACCTTTACCCCACATTGACTATTGACATTATGATCTATTTGCTTCCTCGTGTTTAAAAAAGATAAGACAAGCCCAGCCAGTGTAGTTCAGTGAGTTAGCATCGACCTATGAACCAGGACACTGTTGGATTCTGTTCAGGGCATGTGCCTGATGATGGGCTTGATCCCCAGAGGGGCGTGCAGGAGGCAGCCTATCTATGATTTTCTTTCATCATTGATGTTTTTATCTCTCTCTCCCTCTCCCTTCCTCTCTGAAATCAATAAAAATATATTTTAGCTCTGGCCGGTTTGGCTCAGTGGATAGAGCCTCGACCTGCGAACGGAAGGGTCCCAGGTTCCATTCCTATTAAGGGCACATGCCAGGGTTATGGGCTTGATCCCCAGTGAGGGGCGTGCAGGAGGCAGCCTATCTATGATTTTCTTTCATCATTGATGTTTTTATCTCTCTCTCCCTCTCCCTTCCTCTCTGAAATCAATAAAAATATATTGTTTAAAAGATAATACAGAGAAAAGTTTAACTTATCTGTCTTCTACTCTCAGACCCATTATTCTCTCATCCTCCCCAGAAGCAACTAGTATAATTAGCTGTGTATTCTCTCAGTCCATTTTTTAAAAAAAGTGTATGTACGAACTATAAATATTGTATAGTTTCACTTTTTAAATGAACGTAAGTGCTATTTTCTGTGTGTCATTTGTAATTCTTTCACTCTAATTTTTGAGGTCTGTCCATATTTCTGTATATTTACATCTAAGTATTCCTTTTAACTGTCAAATCGTTTTCAATTGCATGATATATAACATTTCACTTATTCACTAAAGGTTTATGATTTTTGCTATTAGAAACATTGTATGTGTCTTTTTGTACACATGTGAGTCCCTCTAGGGCTGGCAATGTAGCTTGTCAGAATTAGGATGTGCTGGAGGTGTTTACGAGCGCCTATGTCCCCACGTTATTACCAATCCTTTATATTATAAACATTTAAATTTTTTTTTCAGTCTTAGAGGACAGTTATTTGCAATGTCCTTATTACTAGGGAAGCTAAGATTTGTTAATATGGGTTTTTGGTCATTCAGATTTCATCTTACGTGAATTGTATGTTTATATCTTTTCTCCAGTTTTCTATTGGACTGCTTGCCCTTTTCTTATTGATTTGTAGTACTTAAGAATATATATTCTGAATACTATCCAACTTTATGTATTGCAAATATCTTCTTTTAGTCAGTCATTTGTATTTCAGCCTTGTTTGTGTTACCTTAAAGTATTTTTAATGTTTCTATTTTTGACCCATTTGAGTATAATTTTTAAAATATATTACAAGATAGGGATCTTCTTTTTATTTCTCTTCACATGGTGAACCAGTTTTCTGAAGACTATTAATTTATCTTTTATCAGACAGAATCATGATTCTACTCTCTTACAATCAACTAAACAGGTTGCAAATTCCCATTTATGTATATGAGTCTGTTTCTGGTATCTACATGCTTGTTTCTATAGATAATACTTTTTAATTAAAGAAGTGGAGTTCAACTTCTTTAATCTTTCTTTCTAGAACTGTCAGCAACTTGTGGCCCTTTATTGATTAATGAGTTTGTCATGTTTGCCAGAAACTTCTGCTGAAATTCTGATTTGAATTATATTGACTTGTTAATTACTCTTTTCAGTGGTTATTTGTGTTTCAGCACCTCTCTGAGGTGTGGGAGATGATGAACATGCCAAAAACCCATATCCTCAAAGAGCTCACTAATTAGTGGGGAGACAGAGTAAACAAGCCATTGACCAAAACAAAACAAGAGCAACAGCTCAAATGTTGGGGCAAGGAGGCTAGAAAGTATTTAATCCTTGGATAACTACAGGCAATTTGATAGACAGTGATCTTCATGAAAAAGACTGTATATGCCTTATTCACCTCTGTGTATGCAGCACCTAGTACATAACCTGGTATCTACCAGACAGCCCCTAAAATATTAACTAAATAAACATCCAACATTGACAGCTTCAGGGTCTCTAAGCCTACAGTGTAGTTAGTTTTCGGGCTGGCTAGGTCAGACATCAGTATGTTGGTGAGGAGAAATGATGGCATTTTCACATCAAATCATAAAGGTATACTTGGAATTTTCGCCAAACCGAGATCATATCTTACTTATTTTTATATTTCCAATATCTAGCATAGAATAGGAAAATTTGTTGAATGTACAGTGAGTCCCTATTATAGGAATAATCAGCTCTAATTAATCTGGAGGCCCAGAAAGCTAACTCAGGACTCACCCTGCATTCTACTCTTTTTGAAGCCTTGGCACCATATTGAATGTGACCTGTGAGGAATGCTTGACCTTTAGATGCCCTTCGCTAACAGTTGGTTACTACCCCACTCTGAGCATTCCATGACTACTGGCCCTTTGGAGCTCAATTTTTATGGTCATTAATTTAACAGATATTTGCTAATCTGGAACTGTCAGTTTCTTCCTCTTACATTGAGGATATAGAAGTGGATCAGATGTGAACCCTGTCCTCCAAGAGCTTACAATTGGTCAAGGGACATAAGACATATATTCAGATAATTGTAATGCAGAATTGAGAGGATGGAGTTGTCACCTAGAACTGGTTGGGCAGCATGCAGGTGACATTTGAGCTTCAGAGATACATCCCATTTGACAAGTGGGAAAGGGAAAG